TCAATGTGAATAAGATATTGATAAAAACAACATCACAGAGGTTATGCCACAATGTGATTTGTACAATAAATGGACAGCAATCAAATGGAACAGAAATTTAAAACATAATATCCCCGGCAATATTTCTCTTCGATTGAACTGACCTCTTTACAAAAAGAAAGACAGCGATAACTACAAAGCAGTCTGCTTCACTTTTATTAGACTATGGGGTAGAGACAGGTACTTCATGGGCGCGCAGGTACTGTACACAGCAACTATGAAAGATGTTGGTTTAGTGGTAGTGTCGTCCTTCGAAGTCTGTAGTCGGCCAATGTGTCATTCTAGTTCCGTCCTGACCACGTGTGTGAGAGGACAGGACGGTCCGCCTGTGCCCCGGGCAAGATTCGGCACAGGAGTGAGAAGGAAGGTAAGAAGAAGTGATGCTGAAAGCTAGTAAGGGTGATATTCATCAATAGTAACATAAAGTCGACACTAAAACACGGAAATTGCTTCTGGCTGAAGAGCCGCCTACCTCTCCCACAGAGATCAGTATCAAAAGGGGAGAACGATGCATGAACCCCGCGAAAAAAAGGGGAACAGTGTCACATACATAAGGAACGTAGGGGTACACGCTAAAATTATAGTTCCACATACTGATGTGAGTCCTACTGCGTCAGGTATTAACACAAGATGAAACAAGAATAAACACAGATTTTGTGTAATTATATAGACATATTTACATAATATATTATATACAAATGAGACATAACTGTCCCTGTTACACTTGCACCCAAGATGAGATGCCAAGTATCTGGCTTGAGCTAGCATCACAGAGCAGCAACCTGAGTTTACATGTTTCCTTCTGCACTTTCTTTCTTGAGACAACAGGGCATGTTGAGGGAAATAGTTTTTTTGAAGCTGTTGTTGGCCTGTGGGAAAATGTAATCATAAGAAATGACTCTGGAAAAGCTGCAGATAGAGCCATAAGAAATGAATACAACTGATTATTTAATGTTTAATGTTGTTTTTATGGGCAATCATTTAAGCTTTGTTAGTTCCAAGTTTAATATGTGCAATAAGTTCATTTCAATAAGTTTTGCAATAAACATTGAACCAATCCGGCCCTCGACTAGTAAGAATGTTTTAATGGTGGCCCACTGTGTATTTGAGTTTGACACCCCAGCTCTAAGCCCTCGGTGTAGATATTTTATGGCATGGTCATATAAGAGAATAAAGGTCCTTATTTCTGCATTAGCTAGCCTTGTTTTTGTCATAATGTATTAGTTTCTTGGAAACTGCTACCCTTGTGGGACATTGGTTTGAACATATTGTTCCTAACTCTTTTCTTAGCCTGCGGCTGAGCATTTTCTCAGGCTAAATGACTTAGCTACACACAAGTTGTGGGACTGTGATTAGCTATATTCCACAGAGGGAGAGATTTACAGAGTCATTTTTTCAGTCTGTCCAAGATATCATATTTTAAAAGTGCTGGAAGTCCTGGAAGGAGACAAAGTATAGTTAAGCAATAAGCCATGAGAAGCTGCTCTTGACAGTGATTTTGGAGCAGCTTAGAGGCATTGTTCGGGACTCATCTAAAAAAACTGTCAAAGCACGGCTCCAAGTAGCTTTCTGCTTTGTTAAATGACTGCAATAAAAAAAGAATGCAAATGTTACATTTTAATGTAATTTCTGCAATAAATAATAATACTTCTCCTTGTGTGAGTGGAGATTTTGGTTTGCTAGGTACATTAGAAGAACTTCAAACACAATCAATCAAAAGTGAGATAGGCAACTGTTATGATTTAATCTCGATAAATGACTAGATCTTTTTAAGAGGTATTATATTTATTGATCCTCTTGAGCTAGTAAGTGACATTGAAAATATGTTTCAGCTTTTAAAAGGCTTGTATCTAGGAAACGTTTATTTTGGATACTTTGATTTCACAATTGATCTCAGTACTTTCTTCCAGTATCAGTCATTCATGTAAGCTTGCAATAAAGGGTAACGCAGAAATGTCCATCCAGCCACATATAAGATAAGGGTAATAATTAGACCGTACTAGTAACTTAGATACAATAAAAGTATTGCACATTGCTATTGCTATTGTACGCTATAAACATAGTGTTTTCATTGTGGTTAAACAACTGTAAGCACAGCATACTTGATATTTCCACCCAACAACATGCACAACACTTTAAAAAACAAATGCTAATCTTGTTGACTGTGTCACCGAACAGAAGAGGGATTATAGGGAAAGCCTTTTGCCTGTAACGTTCTGTCCAGAGAAATGTCCTCAAATAAGACTCCGGTTGTGGTAGAAAAGTATTTTCTTAGAAGTTTCCTAACTGGGTGAAATTACCCAGAAGTACCAAAGTGGCAGCCATGTTTAGGGCGGTGAATTCTCTGGACTAGGGGTTCCCAACCTTTTTTCCCAAGGGCCCCCCCAAATGACTCCTGTTGGAAGTCATTTGGTAATTAACAGCGGTAATTAAAGTTTGAAAGTCTCAAAAATGCTACAACTACTGCCACAAACTAGATGAATGTGAAGTATTTTGTTAAAGGAGGATGAAAGCGTAATTAAGGAGCACTATTGGAGTGACTTTGATGGTTATTGGACTCAGGATTCATTCATTTGGATTCCCGCTGTATGAGGAAATTAAAGGACGGCGCGGAAGTGGAAACAATTCACAAAGGGATTAAATTGTTTAAAACACATGCTCGAAGTAAGCCGGATTTTGCCGATGTGTTTATGTGGATTCAAAAGTCATAAATAATCTACAAAATGGAGGAGACCGATCTGATCAGAGAAACTGTGACAAATAATCCAACTGAAACCGACATGGACAATGACTGTTTTAAAAATGCGCTTATCCAGAAAAGCCTGGTTTGGACACTTTACGGGCAGAAGAAACA